AAGGGGTACAGGTAGAAGTAGCCTTTCTGAAAAACCTGGCAGATGGCCGTGTCGCAGGGGCAGTCTCCTGCCACCTGGCTGCCTGCTCGCTCCACTGTGGAGAGAGGGGCACAGAGCTGCACTGCCCTACCACCTTCCTGGAGGCACCCCGTCAGAAGAACCTCACCCCTAGACGGTGGCCTTTGGAAGGGCAGGGTCTCTGTCTGCCACACTCACCACCATATCCCAAATGCCTACACAGGGCCTGGCACACTCATTCATGCCACAAGTGTTTACTGGGCACCTACTGTGTGCCAGAGACTGTGGGACATATCGGTAAACAATAACTGTTTCTCAAGTAAAAACAATCTGAGCTGCAGAACTGTCCATTTCATCCCATCCCATTTCTATAGGAAAACACTGCCCATCTGTCCCCACCAGTAATAACCCCTGGCTCTTCGAGGTGGGTGAGGTTCTGATCCTGATAGAAGGTGGCCTTCTTGGAAACCCCTAACTTCCTCTCAGCTCTCCCCAGCAATTGCTCAGCCCAGAAAACACACAGCTGTGCCTAGGTCTGGACCATGACCTCCAGACATAGAAGGTCACTTCTGTTTGTACCACAGTGAAAGGCATCTTGTCCTGCACTCAGACGGCGCTTTGTTAGATGCCATGGGCCTTGGCAAAACTCTCTTCTGATCCTCAGAACTATCCTAGCTGGCTTTGCAGAGGAAGAAACTGAGGCTCACTGAGATAAGGTGGCTTGTGACTGCAGAGCTGACTCAAACAACTCAGCTCTGAACTCCAGGGCAGGTTCAGTGTGCCTCTCCAGCATACCTCTCTGCAGCCCTAGCACGTTCAGTTGGCCACCTCCCCAGGTTGGTTTTAACCATCCTCAGAAAACCCTCTGTATGGGAAAGGCGACCCTTTGTCTATCCTGCTGGACTGGGGTCTCCCATGGGCTGGGCCTGTGCTTTCTGCTTCTGGACTCTCCCGTGCTGGTGTGTGTGACTTCAGGCGAAGTCCCAGTGGACTTTGTCATCTAGTCTGGTCCCGGCTAGTGAGGGGCCCTAGAGAAGTCTTATTTCTAAGACCAGGGGGACTATGGACCCCATTCTTCCAAACTATAACATATTGGTTAAAGGCAAAGATGGATCTGAACACTAGTTCTCTAATTTCAAGCTCTGTGACCTCGGGCAAGCTACATAACTTCTCCATGCCTTAGTTTCTTCATCTGGGAAATAGGAATATTAACATTACCCATCTCGTAGGGGAGTTGTGGGGGTTAAGACGCTTAGCACAGCACCAGACATCTAGAGCTCAGACTGTCACCATTGTCATCGTGATTNAGAAAGGCTCTGGCTCTCTTTAGCTGTGTGACTTGGGCAAGTCACTTTACCTCTTCGGGCCTGTTTCCTTCTCTGTGAAATGGTAGTTGGACTAGGTCAGTCCTTCCTAACCTTTCCTGTGTCATGGAACACATAAAAAATGCATGTCACCTGGGGATAAAGGGAAGAGAAAGGTGGCAGCCTGGGTACTCTGCCCAGCCCCTCCCAGCCACCCAGGTGTGAGTCTATAACTGGTTTGCCACTCAGACTCGGCCGCTGAAAAGCTCAAGACCTGAAAATCTCCAGAGGCCTTTCCAGCTCTGATCCCCAACATCCTCGCCTGTGATCATCTCAGATGAGACTGCTGAGACAAGAAGTGGGGGACCGGGGGCGAACTGCAGGTTTATTGGTTCCCAGCTTCAGGCAGCAACACTGGCCAGGTCACAGGGCTGGGATGAAGGGTGGAGCTGGAGGCACCGGGCACTTGCCAGGTCATATAGCTGCAGGGAGAGGTCTCCCTCCCTGTGGGCCCCAGGCCTCAGGGTCATGCTGGGATGGATGGGTATCTCCTGATTGTGATTTAAAAAGTCATCCTGGGGGTGGGGGGTGGGGAGCCTTTTGTGGAAATTGCACTCTGGGACCAGCAGGGAAAGCATGGTGGTGTGGCACAGTGACCCCCAGCCTGGGGTTCATTCCCGAGGGTCTCTGGGTGGGTACACACGCTGAGTCCTCCCCTCCATGTCCCCGTCGGGGGCTTCAGGACAGCACGTAGACCTCCAGCAGGCTGGAGACAGCGTGCATGCGGTAGAAGATGCCAAAAGGCAGGCAGATGTTGACGATGGCTGCCCAGAGGGAGTAGCCGTAGAAGTCCACCTCCACCTTGTTGCTGAAGTGAGGGCGGGCCCCGAAGGCGGGCATGATCCACAGCTGTGGGAGAGAGGGCGCATTAGGACCTGGCCCGGACTGGGGCATCTCTGTGGGCTTTGCTGCAGACCCCGGTCTTCTAGTTTGGTGGACAGCAGGGGCTGGGTGTTGCTGAAGTGGAGACCTCTTGCATCTTAGGCAGCGACTGGCACTCACTAAGGAGTTCAGGAAATGTACCCAACTGAATTTGCCCACCTCCAGGCTAGGGTTCCCCACTGTGATCACATCTCCCACCCTCGTATGGGCCACTTGTGGGGTGGAAGGGAGGGAGGAAAGGTTTCAACAAATGACGTGAGAGTTTGGTGTAAATGGCTAAGTCAGCTGCTCTCTCCTGGAGAGCTGTGTGTAGGATGGCTGCAGAAGCAGACATCCAGGGAGGGCGGNGTTCAACCTGCTGTCAAGCAGGGCTCCCCTGTGCCCTGGTCTTAACCACCTTCTTGTGTTCCAGCTTTATCCTTCTGCTCATCTCTGCCCCCTCCACCGCAGCCCTGCCTTCTGTCCAAATTCTACCCATTTCTCAAGGCCCAGGTCAAACCTTCAGGGAGCCTTCCCTGGCCACTCAGGCCCACACGTCTTTCTCTAAACTCCTACTCTGTTCTACCAATTTATTATTGATGCTCTGCCTAGACCAGGGGTTTCAGACATGTTTCCAGCCAGTCATTGTCCACATGAGCTCAAACAACCCTGAGTTGTCCTGGCTTTTCCACTTACAGGCTGTGGGACCTTGGGCAGGTCAGACAACCTAAGCCTCAGTTTGTTCATCTGTGAAATAGGGAGAGCAATAGTGCTTGTTACGTGGACTCACTGTGACGATTCACAAAATGCAGAGCTATTGTCTGGAGAAGGGGACCTGGGACTGAGCGACCATCATCACCACGTCCCACTAGAGATTCTTTAGAAAACCCGGCACTTTCTGATCTCTCCCTTTGACTGAATTCAGTGGACAATGCATTATTTGGTAATTCCCTAACTGGTCCCCTGGTGCCTCCCCAACTAGACAGGGAGCTTCCCTGAGGGTAGAAGTCTTACAAGTTTGTTTGTAAAGAGCACTTAGCTCTTGGCACATTCATTCATGCCAGGCACCTCGCAGGGAGCTGGGGGACACAGGGAGCGCCGCTGTCAAGCAGCATAGAGCTGGTTGGAAAGAGGCGTGCATCTTTGACCATCAAAGGCATCAGCCAATCACCCTCGGGACAGTCAATGTGCAACGAATGCACCTTGATCCAGTCCTTCCTGCGTGAGGCCACCTGGCCAGCTCTGCCCCGCGCCTCCCGGCGCGTCACTCACTGTGACATTGCAGAGGATAAGGAAGACGGAGATCTCCTTGAGCGCCCGACGCTTCCAGTTGAGGTGGCTGTAGGAGTGGATGTAGGCCAGCGAGGCCCTCTGCAGGCCCTGGCCCAGCTCCAGCAGGGAGCCCCTGCGGTGCAGCTCAGCGTCCTGCTTCTCCCCCAGGCCCTCCGGAGCTGCCTCCCAGACTGGGCGGCGGTGCAGGCCCTCGATGACGAAGAGATTCTGGGCGATGTGCTGCAGGATAAGCAGCAGGGAGTAGGCCAGGATGAGACGGTTGAGCAGCTCATGGGGGCGAGTGGCCACAATGGCCACGATGGAGAAGTAGGCGATGCCCATCTGACCCAGCGCTGCCCCCATCAGCAACACCACATCCAGGCTGCGGGTGGGGTTCTTGAGAGTGTCCAGCTCGCGCTCCTCCAGCCCGTGGATGGCCGTGCCCGCCAGGCACGCCAGGCTCATGGCAGGCAGCACGGCCGCGTAGAAGGCATAGTAGAGGGTGAAGTACTGGCGCGCGATGGTAGGGCCGCTCGCTTCGATCTGGAAAAGCACGAAGACACACGTGCCTGCCACCAGCACCAGCAGGCCCAGCAGCGGCCCGAAGATGGCCCCGAGCAGGTGGAAGGGTGGGGTGCCTGGGTGGGCGCTTGCGTGGGGGGCCAGACGGCGGCCCACATTCTTCCACATGACAAAGAGCACGGCACAGCAGATGAGGCAGTACTCTGTGCTGAAGGGGTAGAGCATCAGGTAGCCCTTCCGGAAGACCTCGCACACCGTGGCGTTGAGGCACAGGCAGGTGTTGGTGTCGTTGCCTGGGAGGGGACAGGGTGAGAGGGGACAGGCGTTCAGGGGGGCCTTGCTCTGAGAAGACCAGCTGCACAAATCAGTGCCATTCACCCCTGGAGTATGCCACAGGTGGAAGGGATCCAGCCACCCATTTCACAGGTATGGAAACTGAGGCCCAAAGAGAGCAATCAGAAATCACAGATGCTCATTCCTTTACAAAGGGATTCCAGACCAGGTGCCAAGCTAAGCATTGAATGCATGATGTCTTTGGTGCCAAATGTCACTTCTACAGATTACTTATTGGACGCCAGGGGACACCTGTGTTGTTCTAATGGGAGATCTGAGTGCTACACCTGAACCCTTTGCAGTATTCACTGTAGGGTGAGCAGACATTTTGCCTCACAGCCTCACTTGGGGAATGATGGTGCCAAAGTGCGTAGCCTGAATCTAATCAAGGCTTTGGTCCATGCCTCCCAATTTCTAGGAAAAGCAGGGGAGATGGGCAAAAGTCAAATATCACTCACTACGAGGCAGCAACTTGACAAATCTCAGTGTCATTAGGGAAAAAAATTGAAGACTGAACAACCAAATGCATTGAATGTTTGAACAAACCATCATACAAGACATTTCATGGGCTGCTTGGAAGAAGTTAATATAGATTCATGTAGAGGACGGGGATGATGTTAAAGAATTTTGTTAGAAAGTATAATAGCATTGTGGTAATATAGCAAAATATACTTATTTGAAAGAGATGCATACTGAAATGTTTTGAGATGAAATGCCATGATCTCAGTAATGTAAATAATTCCTCAAAAAATTGAAATAAATATGGCAAAATGCTAACCATGATTGCATCTAGGTGATGGATCTATCTTGTTCTTGTATTGTATGTTTGAATATTTTAACAGTAAAAAAAAAAAATCTATGCCATCCCTTGCAAAAAATTCTCTTTGCACAGCTCTTCTGAGAAACGTATCCAGAGTATAGAGAGTGTGCACAGTATACAGGCATGCCATGACTTATGTGGTGGGTGTGTAAATGCATGGGTGTGCTAGAAAGGCTGCTCACAGGTCAGGATGGCGATGCCGCCTTGGGGGGGGGGTGCTGTATACATACAGGTGTGGCTGAATCTCACACACAGCGATGTTCCCATGTAGGTTTATGGGACACAGACTCTAAAGGGTAGGCTGCACAGCTGGGGATGGGGCACATGAAACAATGCTGGCAGTGCTCTCTCCCCAGAAATCTTCCATCCCTCCCCATATGTCCAGGCACCTACAATTGTATTAGGAAGATATTCCTTTCAGTCCTGAAGGCTTTTTAGTTTCTTGCAAATAAAATGCAAACACTGGGGGTGGGGTGCATACCTGGACTTATCAGTGAATAGCTCAGCCAGGATTAGTGGCTAGCTTGCTGACAGCTAGATGGTTGCCTGGAGCAGGGTTGCAGGGTGCCAGCAACCTGATGGGACAGGCACAGAATGGGGGCAGGATGGGTACCATTGGCAAATGTCTGTTTTCTGTTTAGTCATGATTGGGCCTCTGGAATTTGCTCCCAACTCTATAGACTCACTGATCCTCATCCGTTTGAGGGAGAGGGAGAGGGAGAGGGAGAGGGGGAGAGAGAGAGAGAGAGAGAGAGAGAGAGAGAGAGAGAGTGTGTGTATACATTGGGGGGGGGGTCATGGTCTCCTCTGTACCTGAGAACTTTTCCATGAGGGCACTGAGCTCCGCCTCGATCTCGCGGTGCATGGAATCGTTGGTGACGGCCAGAACCCACATCAGCAGGTTTGTGGCCAGGGTCAGCATCAGGCCACACCTAGAGGAGATGCCACACTCTGCCCACACAGCTTAGCCAGCTCCCTGGGGGCCCGACCTGCACCAACACTGCCTTTGGGGTGATCACTGTCTCCCCAAGCCAGATCCCATCTGGCATTAGGACTTTAAGAGAGGCAGCCCTAGGGGCCAACTGGAACCATTCCCAGACTAACCCGCAGCCCCAGGGCCACCCTGTCCAGGGAAGCTGTAGGGGACAGGCACTAGTTGGGGACAGAGAGCCTCGGGAGTTGTTGGAGGAAGAGAAGGCGCCCCCATCTTACCTAGTGAAGTTGGTCTGGACCTGAACACAGTCCTTGCAGTGTTTCCAGAGCACCCAGGTCTGAAAGAGACAGGGCCTTGAGCCCAGGAGCTGGGGGTGGGGGTGAGGGTGGGACCTTGGGGTGTGTGCCCAGCTGCTTGCGTGTATTTATAATGGAAGAGACAATGAGAAAGCCTGGGTTGGAATCCTGGCTCCACCGTTTCCTTGCTGTGTGGTTTTGGGCCACTGGTAAGATATCTCTGAGCCTCAGTCACCTCAGCTCTAAAATGGGACTAAAATGCCTACCTCTCAGGGGAATGCCTGCTTATTGGGGAAATAAAAAGATGATGAAAGTGAAACACAATGCCTAGCGTAAAACAGGAAGTCAGGAGGAGTTGGATATTCATTAGTAATAGTAGCTCTGTGTATCCCGGGGTGTAGATTTCAGTATATGCAAGTAGGTACAGGCACATGTGTTCATAGGTGTCTGCATTTCAGTGATGCGGTGTGTGCAGGTGTGTGTGGCTGTGGGTACACGGAGGCAGCCATCTGTAGCGGGCTGTGGTGTGTGTACATACTCTGGGCCATGAAGTTATTTGCCTATCAGGCTGTTTCTAGGGGTGCTTGGGGATGTGTGCACGCAGCGTGGGTAGGGAGAGTGTGTGCCCGGTGGCGTGGGGACTGGAGAGGCCTGCTACCTGGACGCCGATGAAGATGATCTCGATGGCAGGGAAGATGAGCTCCAGCTGTGACTTGCAGTGGATGTGGCTCATGTCGTAGCCCACACGGAAGACATTGAGGCAGATGGTGCAGCTGCCAAAGAGCAGCAGGGAGCCTGGAGGAGCCAGGCGGCCATTGGCACCTCCCCTGGAATGGGACCTCCCTCCCCCACCCCTCTCCATCCACCCAGCACCCCAACACTCACCCCGCACCCAAATGGGTCCTGCATGAGGGTCCCTGTAGAGCACGGCATGTGGCCGGCAGGTGGTGCCGGCCACGTAGTAGAGGAGCCAGAGGAGGGAGAGGGCCTTGAGTGCGGCCAGCAGGATCCACACGTCGCCCAGCGTGACGGCCACGTTGTTGAAGATCATGCTGCAGATGAAGGCTCCGCCCAGGAACACCACATTGAGGGCCAGGAGCCCTGAGAAGAGCTGCCCAGCCTTCTGGGCCTGCCGGTCCCGCCGCAGTAGCAGTGAGAAATGTCGCACCAGCCAGGACTTCTGGCGAGGTGAGGTGTGGCCCCCTGTCACCTCGGCCCCCATGGCCACTTGGTTCTCCTTGGCTGGAGCTGCTCCAGTCTCCCGTGCTTCTGGAGAGGCCATGGGTGGAGCCTCAGCAGGTGCTGGGGAGGGAGAAAGGATCCGGGTTGGTTGCCAGGCTGTCCTGGGTTCAATTCCACTCCTTCCTGCCTCTAACTGCTGTGTGACCTAGGGCAAGCTATGCAACCTCTCTGGTCAGAACACTGGAAAAAGTAGCAGCTGCCCATCTACCTTACAGGACCCTGAGGTTCAAATAGACCAGGGGCTATGGAAGCACTTTGTGCTCCACATAAACACAGAGATTATCTTGACTGGCTTGAGGACCACCTGCCCCCTGCCCCCGTTTCCTGCCTCCGTGCCTGATCCTAAGATGGAATGATAATGTCTGTCAAGGGAGCCAGGGCCATTGGCACAGTGCCTGGCCACTGGGCAGTTTCCAGGGCTGTGACTTTTTGCCACCAACAGGCAGCTTGGGCTCTGCTGACTTCTGGAAGGAATTTCACTCCTGAGTGAAAGAGCAAGGAGGTGCCCTTTCTTGTTCTGACTGATGAGAAGGCAACGGATGCCCAGTGTGTTGTGTTGAGAGGAATCCTGAGGGTGAGTGTGGGCCTGGTGGGAAAAAATGCTGTGAACTGAAATAAGACTCTATTATGGGTACATATGGGTGCATATAAAATTACTTTTAAAAGGTCTAGAAGACACCCACCAGATTCAAATTGGAGTTTCTTGTGGGGGAAGAGAGGAGGGTATTAGGAGTGGCAGTGGTTTAATGTTCTAGTTTTTTAAAAACACATTACTTATATAATTACAATTAATTTTAAAGGCTTAGGGGGAAAGGTCTGGGATAGATCTGCAATGTCTGCCATGAGCATGGGGGAGGTTAGGATCAGCATGAGTGCTATGCCCTCGCCTTTGACAGAACTGACTTCCATTTGCACCACCTCCCCCTGACTCCTGGGTGTTCCATGAGTGCCCAGCACAACATGAGGAACACCGTCCTTGACACTCCTCCACCCTGAATGTCTTCTGCCACTTCCTCACCATCCCCAACCTTTCATTCAGGCCACCTCTTTGTCACCTCATTCTTGGATCCAGACCTAAGTCACCTCCTATTTGCAGCTCAAGGCCTTTGCCTGGAGTCCAGCACACTCCCCCTGTGGACCTTTGGGTACCCATTCCTGAGCTGCACTAGAGAGGGGGACACCCCGTTGGTGCTGGGTGCTGTCCTGATGGGAAGGCTCCCTTGCCACTCCCTGCCACCCCAGGAGCTCCCCCTTGGTCCTGCACTGCCCTTGAGTCCTTGGTGTTCTGGGCTCAGGGTTCTAAGTGCTCACTCTCCCCATTCTCCAGGCTGCAGGAGGCCTGCTTTCGAAGCTTGCTATCTCATCAAGTGGCATCTCCATCCCACATTTCCCATCAGGGAACTGGGCATCCTTGTCTTTCTCCTCGTGGGTCATCCTCTCAGGTCTCCCAAGTCTGTCCGTTCCAGCCCACAAATTGTTCTTAGATTTTTCTTGACCTCAGCCACTACCCTAGTCCAGGGCCCCCTCCTCTCTCCTGGACTGGTCTCCCTGCCCACCGTGCCTCTCCTTACTGCAAGCAACCAAGTGCCCTTAGTATAAGTCCAAACTGCCTAGCATGGTCTTTTAAATGAAATGAGGCAGTGTGCGTGTGGTATGGGTTTGGAGCAACACGAAGTGCTCAAGGCCGGGTAGCTGCTGTTGCTTCCTGGTCTGGCCTCGACTTACGTCTCCAGCACTGTCTTCATACCCCGCTTGCCCGCAGGCTGTGCCATCCTGCTGCAGTTCCCAGAATGCCCTTGCTTTTGATCACGCCCCTATCTGCCCACACCCAACGCTTTGCCCCTAATGCCAACCCCGTTTCTCTGTGGCTGACTGCAGCTTGTCCTTCAGGACTCAGAAGAGCCCCACCTTCTCTAAGTTGCCTCCCCTGAGTTCCCGTGCCAAGGCTGGGTTAGTTGCCCTCTTTTGATACCCCCACCAAGCTCCATGCTTATTTCTGAAGCATCACCTCTCATGCTCTAATTTAATTAGCTGTGCTTCACTCTGTCTCTCCCTTTGAACTCTGAGCTTCAGAATTTCCCGCTGTAGAACCACCAGAAGACCCTCATCTCATTCGGCTCTAAAAGGCAGGCTCTCCAGCTCCCCATTCTCCCATGGGCAATCTACTCAATATTTATACCTTTATACTGTTCTCTTCTGGGGCAAATAGAATAATAAAACTTGGTCCTCTTTTAAAGGTTCTATAAGTGAAACTTTCCTAGTCCTCTCTCTTTCTTGTTCCAGTTCTGCCTCTTCCCTGTCTGGCCTCCTCATCACACTCCAGGCACCTGCCCGCAATGTCCATCCAGACCTAGCCAGAGGGCTCCACATTTTTCATGTGGCATCCTGCCTCCCTCCATCACTCCTGGAGCCTGTTATTATTTCTGCCTTGCCTGCTACCCTCCACCGTGGCTCTAACCCATCCTCGCCACCCACCTTAAGTGCCTGTCCTGGCATAGTGCCTCCTCTCTCTGCCCAAGCATCTATTGAGAGAGGGTGTGCACAATCTGGTGAGGTTCTGTGGGTGTTGCTGGCTCCCCTTGAGACCAGGAGCTCCTCCAAAGCAGAGACAAGGTCCTCCTTAACTTGGACCCTCCAAACTTGGCACTGCATGACAATCAACCATTGTTTGCCAAATGACTCGGGCATTTTCTGGGGAACTTTCAGCACCAGAGCTGTGGACAGAGACCCTCCCCATTAAACCTTTGCTATCTTGTCACTGCAGAAGAGACTTTCCAGATGATCTTTATCTTTTCTCCTAGCCTCCCACACCCAGGTTGAGCAAGCCTGAGGTTCATGGGGACACCTCCCTGCTCCTTTTCTCCCAACCCTGAATGCTCTATCTCTCCTTTCCCAGATTCTCCCCCACTTCCCCAAGGCAGGATAGCCTAATGATTAAGAGCCCAGATTCTGACACCTACTATCTGTGTGATCTTGGAAAAGCTACTTACACTACCTGCACCTTGGTTTCCTGATCTGTAAAGCAGATATACAGTTATGGAATAGCACCCGGTATAGAGATGCTCAATAAAGATTTTCTGAACGAATAAATGAAGGAATTAATGCATAATACCTACCTCATAGGGGTTTTATCAAAATTAAATGATTTAATTTATGTAAATGAATGTAGATTAGTGGCTGGCACACAGGAAGTTCTCAGTGTTAGCTATTTGTGCACGTCCTTCCAG